AGGGTTTATTGGTTGATTGTGTGATGTGGTATCTGCCTGAAGTCGTCGTGAGGTTGACTGGACTATTCCCCGATCGGGTGTAATTGATGATCCCCGCACCTTGCGGCTGGAGCTCCGATTGGAGAGCTGTCACTTTGCTCCAATTGTCTTGGCGCATTCACCACTCGTCGCGTCGCATCGCTCTATCGCGTCTGCCATTTCCCGCGATGTGCGACGTGCGACGTGCGATTGCTGCTGGCTGTTCGATTCTTCTCGGTCACTGACAACCTGCTGACTCGGACTCTAGCCTCTAGGCTGCCAAGTGCACGCCCCCAATATTCATTGATCCCACCGTCACAACACAATGCCCCGACCGCGGAGGAAAGCAAGTTCCCCGGTCCCCGCGCCGGAGCCCGAGTCTGAACCAGAAAAAGAGCAGGAGGAGGAGCAAGAAGAAAAGAGGACGCTCAAATTCAAGCAGCAATTGACAGGACGACCAGGTCGGCCGGTCCCAGTATCAGAGCTTCTGAAGCGTCTCAAAGCACTGCATGCCGAGCTTGTCACCATCGACCAGGATGATTGCCCTCGGGACTCCGTCACAAAGGTCGCTCAGGAACTGGCAGACCCTAGTGTGCTCATACATCGTGATAAGGGCGTCAAAGCGTGGGCTGCATGCTGTCTTGTCGAAGTGTTCCGCGTCATGGCTCCGGATGCGCCCTTCACCCCCTCACAGCTAAAGGTATATCCTGTCTACATGGCGTTGCGCTCACTACTCGTGCACTGACACTGGCCAGGAAATTTTTGAGTTATTTGTCAGTTCGATCATACCAGCGCTTGCCGACCCGAGTGACCCGTATAATGATCAACATATTCGAGTCTTGGTGTCTTTGGACGATCTCAAGACCATTGTACTCTTGACCGATCTTCCGTCAGCAGACCACTTCATGACTCGACTATTCCTAAACTGCTTCGAGCTTTTAGCTGAAGACACGAAGCCTGATGGCGACGAATCCCTGAGCAAAAATGTGGAGTACCATCTCACGAGACTTCTGGCTACTTTGGTGGATGAAAGCGAGACTCTTCCGACCGATGTCGTGGAACTCATTCTCGCCCAATTCTTACGTACCGACTCTGGTATGGCTGCCTTGCATAAGAAAGGGGCTAACTCGAACGGCACCAATGGTGAGGCAAAGGTCGCTGGCCTACCACCAGCATACAGTCTTGCTAAGAACTTGTGCAACACCTGCACAGAGCGCATGGCCAGGGCGATCAGTCAGTACTTCAGTACCGTCATTGTTGACGCTTCCGAATCGACTGCCGCCATGAAGACAGTGAAAGGTGCATCTAAAAAACGCCGAAGGCCTGACGATGGAGATAGCGAAGACGAAAAGCTGGCCGAGGGCCCCAGTATCCAAGACATGAAAGAATTGGCCAAAGCTCACAAACTTCTTCGAGAACTCTGGAGATCATCACCATTATCCATCCAAAACGTAGTGCCGCAATTGGAAGCAGAGCTGTCGGCAGAGAATGTCGACATCCGTCTAATTGCTGTCGAGACCGTGGGTGATTTGATATCAGGCATCGGCGCTGCCGGTCTTCCCGACTCTGAACCCATGGACCCAGCCGTCTACCCTTCGCAGAGTTCCGACGAGGCGAGTAAGACAAAGAAACCATTTGATGTCTTCACCACGCCGTCTTCTCCTCGCGACTTTGCTGCCGTCTATCCTGCAGCGTACTCCCAATTCATGGACAGGAAGAGAGACAAATCTCCGCAGGTCAGGGCAGCGTTTGTAGAGGCTCTAGGCAGGATCCTGACAACTTCCGCTGGAGGTATCGGCCTTGACAACGAAGAAGAGACGACTTTGCTAGAGAACTTATCTGATCTACTCCAAGACACCGATGACAAGGTTAGATTTGCAGCGGTTCAAATGATCGGTCGATGCAGCTTCCACGATATAGTACGCAAGCTCGGCGGAGACGGAGGTGTCAGTGATGAAGGCTCTGTCCTCGGTCATGCTATCGACAGACTTAAAGATCGCAAATCTAACGTCCGCATTGCCTCCGTTGAGGTTTTCGCTAAGATCTGGGGAGTCGCAGCCGGTGCAATTGCCGAAGGCAACGAAAGAGTCCGACTACTGCTGGGCGCCATACCCACCAAACTTTTCGATGCGTTCTACCTCGGCAAGGTCGAGACCAATCGGGCCATTCAGCAGGCTCTTTTCGACTCCCTCTTGCCCTTGACATATCCGCGCATCAAAGATAAATCGATTGAAAAAACGGGCTCTAATTCGCAAAGAGTCAAAGACAGTCAAGCCAGTCAGAACGCAAGCTCGAACGCCGTTGACGTGGATGCCTTGAGAGCCCAACGAATACTCACATTAGTCCGAGATCTGGAGTCAAAGGCCAAGAATGCCTTTTTCATGCTGCAGAATAGACAGGTGAAGACAACGTCCCTCCTCGAAGGTTTCATAAAGCAATGCGAGGAATACAACGTAAGTGGCGCGAAAGAGCACTGCCGATAACAATGTTTGACATCTCAATAGGGCGGCGTCACATCTACGGAAAAAGAAGGTCTACTGGGCAAATTTATCCAGTCTTTCGCAGCAGCTGAAGCAGATCCATTGACTGCCAGCGAACACCTCTGGAAGTTCGCCAAGAAGCATGATAGGCGTATCTACCATCTGATGCGCTTCACGATGTCGCCTGAAAGTGACTACAAGAAAGTGGTCAATGCCATCGTAAGACAATGTATCCCGACCTACTTTGCAGTACCCATGATACTGACGTTCGTACAGAGAGAAATCAGAAAGCGTCTAACAGAAGGCCCGGGAAACTTGGCATCCATATTACCAACAATCATACCTATTATACTTACGTGCTCGGTAATTGTCTACAATCGCAGTCACGTATCGACCATTGTCAAGTACGCCCGCACGGACGAAGATGGACTCGGCTCTACCGCTCATGAGGTTCTACGTCAGATCGCCGAAGACCACCCGGAGGTCTTTAAAGCTCATGTGCGGACTATGTGCAAGCTGCTCGTTGAACAAAAGCCGTCAGCTGGATCAACGTGTGAAGAAGGCACGGTACAGACGCTGAAAGCATGCGCCAGCTTCGCTCTTAAGTTTCCCAACGAAATGCCTCAAGACCGAGACCTCCTCAAATCTATGGTTGAGTATGCTCTTCACAGCAGTCCAGCTGATGCAGCCAAGTATGCTGTCTCAGTGGTCTTTGCCAGTGAAGATATGAAAGACATGTACATCAAGCAAATTGTCAACGGGAGCATCAAGAGTTTCAAGCTTGGGGCAGAAGGTTCGCTGTCAAAACTCGCAGCTCTGAGCCAGCTTATGCTTTTGGCCGCACCAGAGATTGAAGACCATCATGACAGCATCACCACCATCGCCATCAGAGACGTACTTATGTCCGACAAGCTGCAGCCTGTGGACGATGAGAGCAACTGGAGGGTGGATGTTGACGATGACACAGCTTCCAAAATCTGGGCATTGAAAATCCTGGCCAATCGACTACGAGGCTATGCCGACAAGTTGAACGGGTCTTCCGAGGACAGCGCTGTTATTGAAATGGCGAAACCTGTGTATAGCCTTCTGCAGAAGATCATACATAAGGAAGGACAGATCTCTGATCGTGACGTGCCGGAACAGCAAAGGTCCAGAATTCGACTGACCGCTGGAGTGCTGCTTCTGAAGCTATCCTCGGCAAGTAAATATTTCGATCACCTTTTGGAAGCTAAGGACTTCAACAAGCTGGCACTTATGACCCAGGATCCGGTTTCTGAAGTCAGGTCTGGCTTCGTGGCGGCGCTAAAGAAGTATCTGGGGAAGGATTATCTGCCTCAACGATTCTATACGATGACTTTCCTTCTCGCATTTGAACCGACTGTCAGCACCAAAGAGGAGACGGCGAAGTGGCTACGAGCTAAAGCCGGCTCGGCTAAGAACAGCGAGCACGCCCTCGAGCTGAGCTTCGCCAGATTCCTGAGCGTGCTGGCTCATCATCCGGACTTTTCGATGGAGCTGGAGCACTTGAAGGACTTCATCGACTATATTTTGTACTATCTTAAAGCCGTGGCTACGGAGAAGAATTTGCCTCTCATTTTCATGATCGCGCAGAAGGTCAAGTCTGTTCAAGACGGGATCAGCGCGAGCGTGAATGACAATCTCTACTGCCTGTCAGATTTGGCCCAAGCAATCATTCGAGAGTTTGCAGACGTCCATGGCTGGCAATTGACGGCACTCTCGACCAAGACACACATGCCAAAAGGCATATTCCTTCCTTTGCGCAACCACGCCGAGGCTCAACAGATTGCAGCCAAGCAGTATTGCCCGGAAGAGCTCCTCGATGGACTCGAAGATCATGTCAGAGCCAGCTTGAAGAGTAGGAAGCGGAGGTCTGATGCAGCTGGTCTTCCGTCCAGAAAGCGTAACAAGCCTAATGGCGATGCTGCAAAGAAGTCTGCACGACCAACAGCCAAAACAAAGACACCAAAGAAATCGAGGACTCGGGACGAATCAAGCCCAGCAGCTATGTCGACCGAGAGACGTCGCAGCGGAAGACAATCAAATGCCAAGAGCTATGCGGGCATGGCCGACAGTGAAGATGAGGACGAAGAGATGATAGAGGACTGAGGCGCTATGTGTACAAAATGGGGCGGCTAGTATGCAGGAATTAATCCCCGTACGACCAGTGGTCTAGACTTGGGGCGACGAGACGATGTCAGCGTCCAGCGAAAGAGTGAGAAAGCGGGCCGTACAGAAGAACAAGACTCAGAGCACTGAAGGAGTCGATGTGCAAAAAGTTGAGAACGCTTGGGCCTGTCACGTATGTATTATTCTCAAGCGATTTGGCTGGCGGTAGTCTATGGCCCGTACCAGGAAGATACCCACGACTATATGCATTTGTACTTTGGACGAGTCATGTGTTCGGTGTCAGAGAAGCTTGAGGCCGTGAATGGACTGTGGCAGGTATATAAAAGATTCGAGCGTCCCGTGGACACACAACAAGCCGGCGTAGCTCAATTGGAAGAGCGTGAGACTCTTAGATTCGTCTAGAGTCCATCTCAAGGCTGTGGGTTCGAGCCCCACCGTTGGCTAATCAATATCTTGTGAGCGCACTTACCATGGGTGCTCGGGGCAACTCTTTTTTTCTTTGCGTCAGAATTTTTTGCTCTGCCGGCCTCAACGACCCACCAATTATTTTTGATGTGTAATAACATCTTAGATTTATGACATTCACAGAGAGACGCATTCAAAGAACTTATGACGGCCCGATCAATCAAGATTAATGGTGGTGTAGTCAAGCAATGCGTATCTCTGTCAATGCTTCGACGGCAAATCCAAGGACGAAGTGAGGTGAAGTTGATGCAGCCAATCTAAGCACGTGATGGACAGGCTAAGTCACGTGACGTGGCTTTCACTTTCCAGCTGCGTACGAAGTAAAGTACAGCAGCATCGCAACCCAACCGATTCTCGCCAAAACGACACCACGAAGCACGTCCTTGTTTCGCTCATCACTCCATCTGCTAAGCGCACTGCGAGTCCAGTATCGGAGCACGAGATTTGCCGCATCTTAAATGTTTATATGACCTCACGAGCGCATGCGGCGCAGACAGCGCAGCGCAACTTCCTAAAGAGCTGGAATGCCACATAGCTGGGACGACTGGACCACGACGGCGCCGCCGCGATACCTCACGATACACGACATTCTTTTGCGCAGTACATAATCGCCGCAAAGTAGCAATCTTACTGCAAGATCTCCGTAGCGGCGCGACGGCCGCAACCAGCCAGCCATGAGCGGCCTTCTCCAATTGTCCGATGTCGCAAACAAGGTCCCAAATGAGGATATTGAAATGTTCCGGGATCGCATTGCCGACCTGCTGAATAGAAAGAGTAGAGGTTTTCCCGGCGCACAACCAGTGTCATTCTCAAAGAAGCACTTTAATGAACTCCAGCGCGCCGACTACTACCTATGCGAAAAGACGGACGGCATCCGCTGTCTCCTATACCTCACGTACTTTGTTGAAAACGACGGTTCTCGACGTGAGGCTTGCTTCCTTATCGATCGCAAAAACGACTATTACCACATCGACAATCCCCACTTCCACTTTCCACTACCCGGACAGGATCCAAGCAGCTTTCATGTGGAAACCCTCCTCGATGGCGAGCTCGTTCTCGACTCCTACCCATCACGACGCTCAGTTCGGCGGTACCTTGTCTTCGACTGTTTAGCCATGGACGGACAATCGCTGTTGCAGAAGACGCTAGACAAACGGATAGGTGCTGTCAAGGCCAAGGTCATCGAACCCCAGCAGCAGCTCTTCAAGAAATACCCGGAGGAGATACAAGAGCAGCCCTTTGAGGTGGCAGCCAAGGACCTACAGAAAGCCTACGGTATAGAAATGATGTTCCGTGACGTCTTACCCAACTTGCCGCACGGCAATGACGGGCTGGTCTTCACATGTCGGACGTCGGAATATAGCATTGGCACAGACCAGCACATTATAAAATGGAAGCCGCCAGCAGAGAACACGATCGACTTCAGGCTGCAGCTAGGGGACTTCCCACGGCTGTCCACTAACGGCCACACAAATGGCGAGATGGACGAAGATGACAACGACTACAGCGCCTGCCCTGAGCTGTCGCTACTCGTCAATCACGGTAGCGGCCGACACCAGGTGTTTGCTCCCCTCTACGTAACCGACGACGAATGGGAGAGCGTCAAAAGCATGAACGCTCCGATCGACGCCCGTATCATCGAGTGTTACAAGGACGCGTCGCAACGGTGGCGGTTCAAGCGGGAAAAGGACGGCACGCCGCGGTTCAGAGACGACAAAAACGACGCCAATCACATCTCGACGGTGGAGAGCGTGCTGGAGTCTATCGAGGACGCGGTGTCGGAACAGGACCTGCTCAACCGGTCGGCGGAGATACGGGGATCGTGGAAGCGTCGGGAGCAGCACGAGACGGAGCAGCGGAGGGCGTGGGAGAGGGAGGAGGCCGATCGGCGGAAGAGGGTGGCGGAGTAGGAGTTGGACGAGGTCTCCTGCTCATAGCCTCGCGAGTCTTGGCTTGATACCAAAGTACCAGAAAGACGCTGATCTCAATGTCATAATGTTTGATTTCTGATGCTGACTTTCGACAACATCAAGGATAGAGGCCAGGATCCATCGACAGGACCCATGGCGTTGTTGCATAGGCCTTGCATCAGCACTCACCAGCATGGCGGTTCGCACGATTCACATCCATTCACACCTTCTACCAGGGCTTTTCACTTTGGTTTGGACAATGGAGGAAAGGCATGGTAGCAAACCCCTCTCGGATAGATTCATCCTTTGTTGCTAGTTGAAGCAAGATCATTAATGCGACGCCCAGATCCATCATATTATATCACATTTCTCGTCCCCTTGCCCGCAACCAGATCCCTGCGCTCCAAAATAGCCGACATGCTCCAACTCCACTGTAGACGTGTATATGCCCGGTGCCAGGTCCCGGCCCATGTCCTTACCTCCAGATCATAATGTCGTCCAGCAGCCCACCAACCTAGCAACCCAATCGTGTCGCCGGGCCCTACCTACCTCTACTGCTGGCAGGAGGGACGGCCTCTTCTCCCCGGATATACCCAGCAAACTCCTCCCACTCCACCCAGCTCCTCTCCCAGGTCACCTCCCCATCAGGTCCCGTGCGGGATGGCTGCAGGTACCGCTCCAGCCACTGCGGGAGGTACATGACGTTGACCGCCATGGCGAAACCCACCATGTTCTCTGGCGGGTAGGCCATGATCACCTCTAGGCGGGGGTCGATGCGGTCTAGAGACTCGGTGGGGTGGTGGGTAGTGGTGTCTTCGTCGGTTGAAGGGCGGGGTTGCTCGTTGTCGTCGTCGTCGTCGTCGTCGTCGTTGCCGTTAGGGAGGTCTCCCGGCTGTGGGTAGTGGTGGGGTGTACTGAAGTCCAGACCAGGAAAACCGACGTGAAGGGTGTCGTCGTCTGGTGCTTGTGAGGAGCGGGGATTTGGTGGGAAGGTGAAGCTGGGGTTCAGGGTGGGAGGAGAGCGGGGGAGGTCGTAGGGGTATTGGTTGGAGAGGACGGAGGTGGTGTCGGTGACAGAGTACCGTGGTGGAGGTGGGTTGGAGACGCTGAGTCTGGTGGTTTGAGGGAAGGTGTTGCTGTCCCTGGCATCCTGGCTATGGAGGACGTGGTAGACTATCTTTCGTACAGGGGCGAGGAGGCGGTCGCGGTAGCGGTGTAATCTTGAACGAGGCATGGTCGAGGTGCTGGTAGAGCCTGAGGTGTGCTTCTCCTCTGATACTTCAGCCTGGTGAGAGAAACAGGGAAGATTGAGACGGTGACGCATGATGATGATGATGGGATAGACCGTGGACGAATGTGGACGAATATGGTATGGCAAAGTTTGCAAGACGTGAGTTTGGAGATGCGGCGTATGCGGGTGCGTGCGATAATTAAAGTGAGATTTGTGGTGCGCATGTGAACGGGACAAACTAAGTGAAGCTTCACCTACTCGCCATCCATTACCCGGCACTCTCTCATTGCGGCGCTCCGCTCCCTCGTTCAAAGTCATCTATAGTACATGTAATGCGGATATCTACTTGATCAAAGGAATTCCTGTTCCAGTCCGCTGCTTATAGGCCACATATGCCTCGCCGAAAAACCGCACGAGGTTCTTCTCCTCTCCCCTAATACGTGCATCAAAGAACCGCCAAAGCACCACCGCATACGCCACAAAGCAAAACTTGTTGCCAACAAGCAATTGCGTCCCCAGTGCCCACCAAAAGAATCCTGCATAGCTCGGATGCCGTGTCAGCGCATACACTCCTTCCGACACCAGTACATGCCCAACCTCCTTCCTCTGCGCAGGAATGTGATTGAAATTCGTACCCGCCTGGGCCATGGCCGTTGAACGTAGCGTCTGGCCTACCACCACCAGGACTGCCGCGAGAAAGCGCAGGATGAGCGGGGAGAAGCGGGTCTGCCATGTTGGCGCGAAGGTGGAAGAGACAATGGTCTCAAACATGGCGCAGGAGTGGGCAGCATTCCAAGCCCATCCGTTAGAGTAGAGCAGGAAGCTTGTGGCTTTCGCAGCGGGTGTGTTGTACTGAGCGGTCGTGTAAAATTCGAGGAAGTGGAAAGTGCATAAGAAGGAGATGAAAGTAGGGAGACGCCAAATTTGGTAGTGGTGCAGTGCGAGGTAGAGAGTGGAGAGGAGGGCGAGGCTTAGGATGAGCCCAAGGAGGAATGCTTGACCTGCTATGAGGGAGAGGGAGCGTTTCCCTGTGGGCAGAAGGTCGGCGTCGAAGATGAATTGCTGTCGCTGTTGCTGGTGCTGCTGGTTGAGTAGCTGCTCTGCCATCTCGGCTGTGGAACAGGAGTGGTGGGTCACATTGGTCGGAGAGGAGATGTTTGGGTCGCCACTTGCATGGCGTAGGTGAAGGTCGGCATTTCCTTTTGCCTCTGGCAGCGCGGTGGACATGGCATCAAGGCTTGAAGGAGCTGCCGACTAACCAGTGGATTTGTTTCAAAGAGGCTTCAAAGAGTGTCCAAGTTCGAGCCCCTAGATGGAAGAAAATTGTATGAACGAATGTTGGACGTCGAGAATATATTGTTGATGGTACAAGGGTGGTGGATGTCTAGTTGAGGTATCAATCCATCCCTTGTGTCCATTGGTGGAACCGCACGGTCCACCTGCTTCGGGCACTGGTCAGACCTTTGACGAACGCAAGTCGCGGTCGGTCGACAGACCCGAATGGCGCCTCCTTTTCATTCAAAATTGATTACGGTTCAAGATTGCGATCGCATGAATGTCTCTTCAGCTGCATACAATGGCTGCTGATCACGTGCACGTTGTGGGTGCTCAGGCAGAGATCCTTGCAGGGTTTGGGTCCGTGCCGATCCGTGGCCGCACTGACATCCTCAACTTCATCACTGACCTCCTTCCCTCTTTCCCCTTCATGTGTTGTCAACGCCCGTGCCAAATTGCTTTGCGGACCACTCACTGAACACTGTTACGATTAATCCCGATACGTTCCTACTGTTCCATGCCTAGTGCTGCCATGGCTGCCTGCACCGCGGGAGTACGCCCT